GCTGTCAGTGTGATGTTGAATGTTATTTTTATCTTTTGTAGAATATGGCAAGCTCGCGAGTGGATCGGAAGGTCGTGGGTTCGCTCCCTGGTAGAGCCGGACTTTTTTCAGACATGACCTTGGCTCCCAGGTCGACCCAACCTTGAGTGGGTACCCGGTGCAGTCCCGGGAAATAAAAGCGGCTTGCGTGATTCTGACCACATCACCCATCTTGTGCTGATTGGTCTATAAAAATATGTCTAGCCATATACGCCTACAGGCGGGGAAAAGGGGACCTTTACTACCTTTACACAGAATATGGCATGATCGTCTGCAGATATCAGGTCCATGAAATCCTTCTGCTTGCCGTTTGCTTTCTTGTCTATCATATCCACATAGATTATCAACAAGCGTGGTGACAGTATACAACACCGTCGTACTCCCAGATAAAAACTGGAACCAGTGTCTCGGTTCTTGAAGCCGTTTCGGTTGCGTGATACATAGCTCTGATGTTGTCTAGCAGTTATACACACATGCCGTCATTGTACCTGACTCACAGAGCATGTTGACAAAGGTGAAAACCGCATGCTTCCTGTAGAGTGGCAAACATCACTTCAGAGGTCCTTGGTAGTCAGCATCCTTTAAATAATTTTTGGAGGTGTTGCCGGTGTGTTGGGAAATGAGCAGATAGATAGACTGGCTGGCTCTGCACCGCTTGGCGGTGAACTGATGTATGACAAGCTAGATATTGTGAAGGCCCTTTGGGAACGGGTGAACAGTGCGGAGGTGCAGATGGATCTTTACGGTCTGAGGTTAATGGCGCTGCGAGGAGTTACCAGAGCGCCAATGGATGTGTCTGGAGTGCTGTGAAGATAATCTAAATCATAACTCATACCAGGGGATCTGGCCGACGCTCAACACTTAGGGGAAGGATGAGACGGATATATAATCTGATGTTTACTGACACCATCGGAATTAGAACTCTTCAATTGCTGCTGAAGATGGGGACTGAGCACTTATGGGAGTGTCCCGAGTGCTGTGATGTCGATTCTTTATTCAAAATTTATTGTCCAGCAGTTGTCCATTTACATCACACTCTTCGAGCACTGACCATAGCTTGTCTCGATCTACTCATTCAAAGGTGTTTTTTTTTTCTTGCTCAACGAAAGCCATATTTAGTTCGTTGTTATACAGTGTATAGTTTTCTCACTCATTTGTCTCAGTGTCACACCAAAAAAAAAAAAGCATGGGTGCACTCCCTTTCTTGTCTGCATTGTTGTTGTTAGTTCCAGGTTAACATTAATTTGTTAACACGAACTCGATATTATGTCCTTTGTAATTTGTGTTAACGAAATTTTACTATCTAATTTCTACGCTAAGTATGTTGCTCATTTCTCGTAAACTAATTCGGGCATTTCAATCAGTTAACTGTTTGGTAAAAGTGAGTAAAGGCCCTTCTACACACACCAGACGTATGATGCTTAAATCGTATTTTAATAGATCAGCCGTCATATGCTAGGTGAACTAGTCAGTAATGTGCCAGCCACATTGACTTCCCCAAAACATTCATTAATTTATTCATTGTCCTATTGTGCCATTATATTTCTCAATTCTGGGAGGCGACCGTTAGTGTTGGCACATTTGACAGCTGGGGGGGGGGGGGGGGGTGCGTGGTCTCTAGGCATGGTGTCTGTCCGAGAGCTAAAGGTTCCGGGTTCAATCCCCATAAGGGCTGGGATTTTTTCACATGGACCCAAACTATTGCAGGATCCTCGCCGGTGCTAGAGAGCCTGTGCACTCAGACTTGAGTTAGAAAAAGAACGGAACACTTATCTGTTACTTCCCGTGTGCCATGATGTTGATCCGTTGTTCAACCCTCAGACCTCAAACATCTGACAGCTGCCTCATGCACTTTTTTTTTGTAAACGTTGCATATGTAAGTTTTTCACTAGTTTCCAAAAGAGACAGTGAAGGACATTTACAACTAGTAGCCTTACAGTAGAAACTATGCATTCTTATGGACTCGAAAAATATGCTTAAACAAATCCAAGCTGGATTTATCAGGCAAGAATGGATTGAAACACTACGTACTTTATGAATATCTTCCCTTACATTCATCTATGTGCCAGGTCATGCGGGTGTTCAAGGGAACCAGCGTACAGACTATCTTGCTGACACTGCAGTTCCTATGGCTGGCCCAGTAATGGACAGAAGTGATGTTATCAATGCCATGCGCTGCACTTACCGTACCGGGGAGCACGCCGTATCGCTGACTAGACTGACGGACATTGGGTGCAGCCTGGAGCTGCAAGAAATGAACATTTCATTATGGGGACAAGACGTTTTATTAACCAACACAGAACAGGCGTCATCAGTCGTTTTACACTTGTGAAGCTTTTCAGGAGGAGATCGGAGCACCAATGGATCTGTCCTGAGTGCTGTGATGATAATCCTTGCTAATCACCAATCACTATCGCTTGATATGTGTGTGCACCAGTTCAAACAACTGTAGAACGACGCTATCCAGTTTCTAAGAGTGCGAATCAATATCTTTGAATTTATTTCCTGAATATTCTCTACATGAAAACTAAAAACTGATTGCCCAGAAATTGTTTGCCGTACGCTAATCAATGTAAGTTTGTAATGAAATAATTATCTCAGGTAGAATAACAAAAGGAAACAGAATGGTCGCTGACCACGAGGCAGATAAGGAAGACGACGAAGAGATAACATTCAGACAGACCTACAAACGCTTCATGTCACTTACTGGAGAGAGAAGGCCAGCCAGAGAGATGAATGGAGACGGTTGATTTATGCAGTATTGACCTCGAGAGTTTGGAATTCTGTAAAAGACGACGACGACGAAGAAGAAGAAGAAGAAGAAGAAGAAGAAGAAGAACAATAACAACAACAAAAACAGAAAGAATTGGGAAAAGAAGAATGTATTTTTTTTTTCTTTATCAAGCTGTCTGAACAATGCATCTGGGCCGCGGTTCGCACGGATCCCATCTATTGTATCTCCCTCAACGTGTGTAGGCTGATAACACTAGTTCTGCTTTTGTCTTGATTCTGTTTGTTTGGCTATAGGGTTCTTGTCTGGCAACGCCTCTTTTGACATGAAGTTCTTATAGTTCATATTAGGAGTACCGATTCACCGTAATCTCTTGAATCATCTACGCGACCACGGCCAGCTCTAGAGAAGGCAATGTACGCGACCTACCTCCTTGAGAGCATTGGGAACATCGGCCCGGTCCACCACTTTTACTGTTTAGGGTTAGGTTTAGACGACGGATCAACATCATGACACAAGGGTAGTAACCCATAAGTTCTACGTCTGACTCAAGTCTAAGTCCGAAGAATTTCAGCACGGTGTACCGGCGAGGATCCCGAAAATACTTTGGGTAGATTTTTAACTCCAAATTTTGCCCAGGCAGCGCCGTTAGGCTACTCTTTTTCGAATTTCCAACTACCAAGGGACTTTCTACGCGCTCAACAATACACACGGACGTCTGATCTTACTACCTAGAGACCAGGGGAGATTACTAGAAGTCCACGTGAAAAAATCACAGCATTCACCGGGGCTTGAATCCGGGACCTCCAGCACTCGACGCGGATACCATGCCTCGAGACTACACAGCCCCTTTTTCCGGTGCCCACCCTGGCCCTTGAAACAAGACAGTCCGAGCGAGTGATGTTTAACCCCCACTAGGACCGCGCAACCAGCGATTAACATATGATGACACAAAGTGCCATCATTTGGATGAGAAACTCCCAGACGCAAGTCCCAGTCAGGTAGGCTATATAAGAGCTGCAGACGACAGCCGGGTGAGGCTTTGAAATAACCACAGAAACACACAGAAAACTGGGACGGATGTAATGATGAAGCAGGAACAGATCCAAGGAGGCAAGAAAGGACCGAACCCCTCCTATTTGGTTCAGACCTGCCAGGGAGGGACCACCTGGACCCAGGCTTGGACAGCCCCAAGGAGCTCCCAGAGGAAGCTAGAAAATGTTTCTGTGTTGTCATTTCAATCAGTAAACACATTTAACACGTAAAAAATAAAAAAAAATGTCCGCTCGTTAATTCCCGTGTTCTGGCCCACAAACTGATTCCTGTCAGATAAGATTTCGTCAGGCTTCCGCCACTGTCTGCGAATCTATTCTGTCTCAGGCTTTATGCACGGGATCTTCTTCCTAACGTTCACCGGCTGTAAGCTCCGGGAAAAAAGTTCTAGTTGTTCGTCTTTTTTCTGTACTTTGGTCTTGTTTCCAAAAGCTGAGTTTTTGGTGCATATCCATTTTACAGATCTGCCCCTTTTAATGCAGGCTACTTCTCGTGCAGATGAACTCTCGACTTCGAAAGAAACCTCTAATGAATCGCTTTTTACGACACGCTTGTTGGGGGACAATGAATCTATAACACCCCCCCCCCCCCCAACTTAAAATGAGGCACAGAACCCACACGGAGAAAGCACAGGAACCGATTAGATACTTTTGGAGATCTTAAAATGCTGAAAATCATGGAAATTAAAAACTGAGAACAAGGCGCCCGCTACGAAACTAACAACCTTTAGGTGTAATGAGTACACAGGGACAGCTGGTTGCATTTTACAGAGTTTAATGTCGAAAACAATCACGGTGGTAACGAATCCTTTTTTTTTTAATGTGTGGAAAATCTAGTCATTTAACGTTTAACGTCATTTGCAGTTTATTATAGATTTAAACAGACGCTATTAAAGTACTATGGCTCTACCGTGGCCCCTCCTCCTCCCTCCAACGAACACTTGTGTACATCAGCTGACATTCCATTAGCATGACTCATTACCAGTCGTACTGCAAAACGGACAAGATAACACACGCTAGCAAGTTTTCAGACTTTTTTTATTCTAATCACCCTTCATCCTCCTTTCTCTTTCTCCTCATCCTTTCCTTCTTCCTTCTTCTCCTCCTCCTCTTCCCCCACCCCTCCTTCCCCTCTTCCTTCTCCCCCCTCCTGTTCGTTTTCTCCTCCCACTTCACTGATGCATCACCAAAACATTTTCTCTTCAGATTTCTCCAAGGAAGCACCAATAAGTTATAACACTGAGGGTTTAACAGTGAATTTTCACAGAAAACGAATACCACTGCTACAGTTAGATCCCCTCTCCCCTCGCTGCAAGATAATGTCTATTTATGTTTTTCTAGCTTGTATTTGTTAGTTTAGTATTGCACCTCTTTATAAGTATTTGTTAGTTTAGCATTGCACCTCTTTAGAAGTATTTATTTTCAGATTGCTGTGATATTTTTGAAAAATTTCAATAAATTATTTAAAATATTGGCTATCTTCTGAATAACGGTCCCAAATTATCGAGGCCGAAAATATACCCTAAAAGGGCCTCAGTCATGTCGATTTTAGACTATACCGCCACCCCCCCTCAATTGCGAACTTCCGGGGACTATACCGCCACCGCTGAGAGTATCCCCCACTCACGCGGCGTGGATTGTGGCTAAACTAGATGGCTGGGACTCACTGGCAAATAAAATGAAGGAAGCTGCAGGAGATGCGGTAGCTGCTGCTCGTGAGTCACAGCCATCTAGTTTAGCCTCAATCCACGCCGCATGAGCTGCGTGGGGGATACTCTCGGCGGTGGCGGAAGTCGCCGGAAGTGCACAATTTAAGTCGCCGTAAGTCCGCAATTGACACGTGACCGAGGCCCTGTTAGGGTATATTTTCGGTCTCAATAATTTGGGACCATTATTCGGAGGATAGCCAAAATATTTTGCCTTGCAAAATTGATCCCTTTGTAACAGTTTTTGTTCTTGTTATGTGCTGTTTTCAGTCTTTCCTGCAACTCGTCTTTCACGAAGCATTTGTATTTTATCTTTAAATTATGTTGAGTAAAAAAAGTTTGGCTAAACAGAGACTTTAACTGTTGACCCCCTTTTATTACAAGTTTGACTACGGCTGAGCAAAAAAAAAAGAGGATGGGGGGGGGGGGGAGTTTATTTTTAGGGCAACTCAGATTACAAGGATACTCCCCACAAAGTTTGTTTAAAAATAAAAAAAAGGTGCTGGTGTTGAGCACAAAGTTTATATTTTTCTTATTCTTCTTTGCGCTCACCGGCTGTAAACTACAGCGGAAAGTTCTGGTTGTTCATCCACTTTTGGACTGCAATCCTGTTTCAGAACCTAAGTGTTTTGTGTGCATCCGTTTGACAGATCTAAACTAATTTGTGTGCAGACTGTTGGTTCCTTGCCTCTCAGGCAGATGCACTCGAACTTCGAAGGAAGCTCCAAATTAGTCGACTCTTACGACACTCTTGTGGGTAGTTAGTGGGTCTGTTTGTTTTCCCTATAATAGGACCCCGGAACCCACACAGGGAAAAGTTTATTTAAAAAGGCTGCTGGCATTCAGCACAAAGAAGCCTACATATTAACAGCAGTACTGGGAAAATTATGCTTGGGGAAAAAAGGTGCTAGTAGTCACCACAAAGTTTATTTAAAAAGGGTGCCGGTACCCTCTACAAAGTACGTATAACAATAGTACTGAAAAAAATTATGCCTGGGGAAAAAAGATGCCAGTACTGCATACTATAGCTTACCACCATTAAAAAACAACAACTGGTTGAGCCCTCTCCATACGGAGACTGGTAGCCATGTCTTCACTGCTCTGTGACTATTATGTGGTGATGTTTACGAGGAGCCCAGCTATTTGCTTCTGACTTTTTTCTGTTTAACTTTTTAGAATGTCAAGGGATGGGCATAATTGCCAAAAGTAGCTTTTAAGTGGGGGTTTCCTTTTGGTAAAGTCGGGGGATGTAATTGCAAACGGTTATAAACGATAAGTGCTCTGCCACCAGTACGGAAAAGCTGATAAGAAACTGTCCATCTGTATCGCCGTCCGCACGCAACTCCATAGCTACAGCGACATTCCTCCATGTACTCCAGAGTGTTAACTCTGGTGTCTGTTTCCTAGAGGCTGGGTGAGCCCCGGTAACCGCCCGGTTTTGAACACCAGCCGTAGGCTGCAGCGAGTCGCAGCTGAATTTAAAAGCAAACAAATAAGTCAGATCTGTAAAACAGATGTGCACGTGACACTCAGGTTCTGGAGCCAAACTAGTGTCTGTTGGTGGACAAACAACCAGAACTTTCCTTCGCAGCTTAGTCGGTTAATGTGAAAAAAATAAACACGAATTTAGCAGATTATCAACTGAGTTACATCTCTCTGAACTTGAAAAATATGTTTATCATGACCCCTTCTTGACCCCGTGATCTGGCCGCCAGTTACTAGTGTAACATACAAGAAATTTTGGTATCATATTTTCTATGAAAAAGCCATTTTCCAGTAGGAAACCTCCACCTAAATGCTACTTTTAGCAGCTTTGCTCATTCCTTGTCATTCTAAAATTGCCCCGAAAAAAATCGGAAGCAATACTGTTGGTGGGGCTGCTCGTAAACAAGCCTCCAAAGCAAGCCAGAAAAAGGACATGTATGCGGCCGTAGTCATAAACCGGAAGCGTCAGGTTTTGTGCTTCTCAGAATGATAGGGTTGAGACTGAATGCAGAAGAAGTAACACTGTCATATAGGACGCAGTAAGGGGCAATGAACAGGCTGATAGGCTGGCTGATGCTGTTCCTCTGGGCAATAAGCTACCTTTCGATAAAGCAGACATGGTGAAGACTCTGGGATCAAGTGAACAGTACCACAGAACAGACTGATTCAGTGGGGATTGAGCAGAGGAACTGGATGGTTTTTAATGTGCAGGAGAAATGAGAAGTAGGCTTTTTAATCATGTTGAAACTTTATCCATATGTGTATGAGCTCTTCAGTGGCTACTGAGGAAGGGGATAGAGCACATGTGGGAATGCCCAGAGTGCATTGACGTCAAATCATTCACTCAGGATGCAACAATCTGTGTTCAGATATGACTGAATAATCTTTTTCCACACCCTCAAACGTATTAGGTATATAGGGCTGGACCTAAGCACTCAGTGGTTGATATGGTAAACATCACACCCTTCTCCTTTACTTCCCAGTTCTACACTTATTATCTGTTCAAGGATGGGTAGACCTAGGAGCGAAGATCATTTTTGAAAAACATCTGGCATTGTCAGGACCGGAACCCAAGGACCCACTACAACACGGCAGCTCCTCAGGACTAAATGAGGCTAATGTAATCGCTGGGTAATGAAATGATAGGAACTGAAATGCTATAGAAAGATTATCAGAATACCATCGACAAAGAAGAATACAAGTTCTGACATCCTAAAAAATCTGAACATCAAGGAAGTTTAGCTAGTAGACAGCATCTTTTCTCAGAAACTATTCTGACCATATCAAGAGTCAGGGCGGAATGGACAAAATAGTAGCAGAAGGCATGGTGCCAGGAAAGAGGAGCAGAGTCTGATCAGCACGAAGATGGGCACAGGATATATGTGACACCTTGGGTAGGAGAGTGTGTGAGGCAGGAGAACTGAAAAGAGACCAGGTTTCTTTCAGGCAGGCTGTGATGAGAGCAACTCTCTGTTGCTGCTTGACCTGATAGTGAATTAAAAAGAATAGTTTGTGTTAATTTGTTTTGTGACTGAAGTTTTTCTTTTCAAATCACACACCACAGGTTGTTTCAGTTTTAGTGGGAGTAGGAGCGGTTGCGGTAACAGCCATCCTGGCCAGAGCATTTCTAGGTCGTATTCTGAGTAGAAAGAAAAAGCCACAAATTACCCTCAAGGACCCAACACTCAGGTACCCGCTTAAGCTTGTTGATAAAGAGGTTAGTATTTAAAACATAAAACGATAACTTAATCCATTGATTAGTTTATATAAAGTTTAAAGATACATTATTCTGTTTGATTCATTTATATAAAGTTTAAGGGTTTAAAGTCAAGATGATTCATTTCATTTGACAGGATATAAGGGGCGCTGAAACATGTGGTGATGCACTATGAACAGGGCTGATATAGGTCAGAATTCCTCTGTGGGTTCTGGGACAACATTGCGTATGATAGTGGTCAGAGTTCCAGTGTGAGTTCTGGGACAACATTGCGTATGATACAGGTCAGAATTGCTGCGTGGGTTCTGGGACAACATTGTGTATGATACAGGTCAGAATTACTGTGTGAGTTCTGGGACAACATTGCATATGATACAGGTCAGAATTACTGTGTGAGTTCTGGGACAACATTGCGTATGATACAGGTCAGAATTGCTGCGTGGGTTCTGGGACAACATTGCGTATGCAGTACCAAAGATCTGGAGCAAGACAAAAGTTCAAAAATGAACAGTCAGCTGGGACTTTCTGTAGGGAAAACAAGAATAGAACCACTGCCTACCCAATAGAATGTTGCAAGAGTCGACAAATTGTTGGCTTCCTTCAGAGTTGGAGTGCATCTGCCTGAGAGGCAAGGAACCAGCAGTATGCATACAAATGAGTCAGACCTGTGGAACGGATGTGCACGCAACAAGGTAGTGACTAAGAATGGATGAACTTTCTGCCAGAAATTACAGCTGGTGAGTGCTTAGAAGAAGATACATAAATTATACTCACATGCACGCACACCCACCCTCCTTGACTGACTGACTGGCTGACTCATTCATTTACTCACTCACTCTCTGACCGACTCACTTACTCACTCTCTGACCGACTCACTTACTCACTCTCTGACCGACTCACTTACTCACTCTCTGACTGACTCACTTACTCACTCTCTGACCGACTCACTCACTCACTCTCTGACCGACTCACTCACTCACTACATTATATACATAAGTAATGCACAATTGGTACTAAAAGATTTAAACAAAACAACTTTTAGTTGTCCTCTGTAGACCACCATCAAGTGACTTGCAGACTGGCACAGGCAGTCATGTCACTGCACAACTTGTGACATTCAACAGCATATATTCTTTTAAACCTACCTCTGCCTCTTGGTGTGCTCTCGATGTCAGCATTGTTGAATTTATTCTCACTAAATGGCTGAACCATTTCAGTCTTTGTTTGTTAATTAATTCAGCAATGGGTATTGTTTGTTAATTAATTTAGCAATGGATGTTGTTTCTTAATTAATTTAGCAATGGGTGTTGTTTCTTAATTAATTTAGCGATTGATATTGTTTCTTAATTAATTTAGCAATGGGTATTGTTTCTTAATTAATTTAGCGATGGGTATTGTTCTTAGTTAATTTAGCAATGGGTATTGTTTCTAAATTAATTTAGCGATGGGTATTGTTTCTTTAATTAATTTAGCAATGGGTATTGTTTTGTAATTAATTTAGCGATGGGTATTGTTTCTTAATTAATTTAGCAATGGGTATTGTTCTTAGTTAATTTAACAATGGGTATTGTTTCTTAATTAATTTAGCGATGGGTATTGTTTCTTAATTAATTTAGCGATGGGTATTGTTCTTAGTTAATTTAGCAATGGGTATTGTTTCTTAATTAATTTAGCGATGGGTATTGTTTCTTAATTAATTTAGCGATGGGTATTGTTTCTTAATTAATTTAGCAGTGGGTATTGTTCTAAGTTAATTTAACAATGGGTATTGTTTCTTAATTAATTTAGCAGTGAGTATTGTTTCTTAATTAATTTAGCGATGGGTATTGTTTCTTAGTTAATTTAGCAATGGGTATTGTTTCTTAATTAATTTAGCGATGGGTATTGTTTCTTTAATTAATTTAACAATAGGTATTGTTCTTAATTAATTTAGCAATGGGTATTGTTTCTTAATTAATTTATCAATGGGTATTGTTCTTAGTTAATTTAGCAATGGGTATTGTTTCTAAATTAATTTAGCAATGGGTATTGTTCTTAATTAATTTAGCAATGGGTATTGTTCTTAATTAATTTAGCAATGGGTATTGTTTCTAAATTAATTTAGCAATGGGTATTGTTCTTAATTAATTTAGCAATGGGTATTGTTCTTAATTAATTTATCAATGGGTATTGTTCTTAGTTAATTTAGCAATGGGTATTGTTTCTAAATTAATTTAGCAATGGGTATTGTTCTTAATTAATTTAGCAATGGGTATTGTTTATAAATTAATTTAGCAATGGGTATTGTTCTTAGTTAATTTAGCACTGGGTATTGTTCTTTGTTAATTTAACCCTTTCGCTGCTGCGCCCTCCGCCAGCCAACGTAACCACTGTGCTAAGCCAGGCGAAAGCTAATCTTTCCCCCTGTGCTGAATACTGTTTTTGAAGACGCGCTTGCGGTACGGGGTAAAAATTGTACACCTAAAATAAAAAATCGTTGAAACCGAGTGGTTGAACTTTGCGCTGACAAGTCAGACGCGCTATTACTACTCCATGAAAACTCATTAACAAAAAGAAAACACTACAAACTTACAAAGCAAACACAAAACACTTCAGTAAGCAAATACATGGTTTTTATTATTATTAATATCTTTGAGTGTGAAATATTTCAAAACAAGGTGCGATACACAATGCCAAATCACATTCCTTGCAAATGTATCTGGTTTCCCGTCGTTTTTTGCTTTTTGCGCATACCACACACTTTCTTGTTGGGAATTTTTTCTGCGATGTTACAGACTCTCTTATTGAAGGGAAATGCCTTTGTACTAAACGAAGTGGCAGATCTCCACTTTTTTGTCCTCCTACACTTTTTCTCTTTTCCTTGCAATATTTCTGTAGAATTTCTCTTACTAACATTAAGTGAAATTCGGTAACAGGTGTGTTTTTCCCCACAACAACTTTATATAATGAATGTGCACAGTACACCAACCACGCTTCACAAAGGAACAGGATAACGTGTAAAGCATCTAAATCCACTTGAACGCACGTGACAGGATGTTTAATTAATTATTACTTCGGTGATCTGTTGCCAAAAATGATAAGAGCTTAAATTTAAAATTTGCATTTAAAAATAATTAATTTAAAAAAAAAAAAACGGCATATAGGGATCGAACGCAGGACCTTTCGATTGTAAGGCAGACGTGATACCAACTACACTAGAAATTCACATGACACAAGAACTGAAAAAAAGACCAGTATTGTACACATTTATGTCAGTTGTATAGTATATAATTAACATTAATATTAATCATCAAATCAGTACGTGACCATATCTTTATTTTGATTATTTTGGATCCGTTTCAAATCCACTCGATGTAGATAGCTAGGTCATATGGTCACTGGTCAGTCTTGTTCACAGCCAGAAGTACACGTGTCCGCCGGCGTGCCGCGAAGATAACAAAGTTCATATAACTCACACGTTTCAAAGTGATCCTTACTACTACTCCTTGAAAGAAACTCCATTAATTCTTTTTTATTTAAACAAATGTTCTTGTTATTTTGTATTTTTAAAAAAAATTTAGACTAACGCAAAACCAGAAATATATTTCAGGGCAAAAAAATTACCGTTCACCCACAATGCTTCTATGGTAACAAAGCAACAGGATAACATGAAATGCATCTAAATACGCCTAAACTCACTTGATAAGGGTTTTAATTGTATGTAAACGGGTCAGTTTAATCAGGTTAAGGTAATGTTTATTGCTATTTCACCCCTAAGAATTACTGTTCTTAGCAATCTGTAAAAAATTGTCGAGGACGAGATATCTCGTCCTTAGCAGTGAGGGCACAGAAAATGGCAGCTGAGTTATCTCGTCTTTAGCAGTCTGCCGGGCAGACGAGTTATCTCGTCCATAGCAGCGAAAGGGTTAACAATGAGGATAGTTACAGTACTTCTTCTTTCCTCATATGTTCTCTTCTGGTTTTATTTGCAGCAATTCTCAAACATCTCATTCCTCAAGTGGTTAGTTTTCTCTCATGTTTATTGGTTGGTGCTCAGGTCTGACACTGGTAACCTAAAACTGGAATAAATACAGCATTTATAATTTCAAACCCAACTTAACAGTTAGTTATCACTTTACAGTGTCAATAAATTTTAATGTTACGGTTACCTCTGCATTATTATCATTATTATTTTTTGTTTTTTTAAAGATAATCAGTCATGATACTCGGAGATTTAGATTTGCATTGCCAAGCAGCGATCACATTCTTGGGTTACCCATAGGTATGTTAATCTGTTGTAAGAGTTCATGTCCAAGCAGCGATCACATTCTTGGGTTACCCATAGGTATGTTAATCTGTTGTTGTAAGAGTTCATGTCCAAGCAGCGATCACATTCTTGGGTTACCCATAGGTATGTTAATCTGTTGTTGTAAGAGTTCTTGTCCAAGCAGCGATAACATTCTTGGGTTACCCATAGGTATGTTAATCTGTTGTTGTTAGAGTTCTTGTCCAAGCAGCGATCACATTCTTGGGTTACCCATAGGTATGTTAATCTGTTGTTGTTAGAGTTCTTGTCCAAGAACTTGAGAGTTGTTTTCTCTTGTAGCTTTAGGTTAACTGGATCAGGATTTTTTCTAGAAAAAAAAGGTACCAGTACTCATCACAGTGGGCCTCAAAAATGGACCAGTACTCATCACAGTGGGCCTCAAAAAGGTGCCAGTACTCATCACAGTGGGCCTCAAAAATGTGCCAGTACTCATCACAGTGGGCCTCAAAAAGGTGTGGCTACCCAGCACAGAGTTTCTGTTACAATTGTACTCTTTAAAAATTTATTATTATTACACACACATGCACGCACGCACGCACATATGTTCGTGTGTGTGATGGTCAGCACAGATAGTCTGTTACAATAATGATACAAAACAAATGTTGGAATTAATATGCTGTTAATAATCTGGTTCTTTGCACTCATAGTTATGCTTGGATGTCTTAATAATGGTGACAATTGGTATATAAGTGCACTTACTTTCTGACATCTGGTTTCTATTTCTCTGTCAATTCTACCATCTTCCGTGATCATACTCTCTAGATATTAAAAAACTCCACCATATTCTTTTTTTTCTTTGTATGTCCTCATAAAATTGTTTTACACATCATGTTGTGGTTTACAGCTAGGCTGTGATATCTATAGCTTTCGGCCAACACGTCTGATTCAGGGCAGAACCATTCAACTGTATGTGTAGTGGGCCAGGGGTTCTGCTAACTTGCATTGTTTCTGTTTTGTTTGCATTGATCTTCATTTTGTATCTACTGCATGCAGAGTTTCATCTGTGCAGTCTATCTTCTTCAAGGTAGAACAAGTCTGTTACAATAATGATACAAAAATCTTGTATGCTTTAAAAGAAAATAAAAAAGAGGTGCTGGTCAGTACAGAGTCTGTTACAAAAAAAATTATGCTTTACAAAAATAAAGAAAAAGGTGCTTGTAGTAAACAGAAACATAAAGGACAGTTTTTGTGCCAGTGGTGCATCAGTTTTCGTGTCAGTGGTGCATCAGTTTTCGTGTCAGTGGTGGATCAGTTTTCGTGTCAGTGGTGGATCAGTTTTCGCATCAGTGGTGGATCAGTTTTCGCATCAGTGATGCATCAGTTTTCGTGTCATTGGTGCATCAGTTTTCGTGTCAGTGGTGGATCAGTTTTCGCATCAGTGGTGGATCAGTTTTCGCATCAGTGGTGCATCAGTTTTCGTGTCAGTGGTGGATCAGTTTTCGTGTCAGTGGTGCATCAGTTTTCGCATCAGTGGTGCATCAGTTTTCGCATCAGTGGTGCATCAGTTTTCGCATCAGTGGTGGATCAGTTTTCACATCAGTGGTGCATCAGTTTTCGTGACAGTGGTGCATCAGTTTTCGTGTCAGTGGTGCATCAGTTTTCGCATCAGTGGTGCATCAGTTTTCACATCAGTGGTGCATCAGTTTTCGCATCAGTGGTGCATCAGTTTTCGCATCAGTGGTGCATCAGTTTTTGCATCAGTGGTGCATCAGTTTTTGCATCAGTGGTGGATCAGTTTTCACATCAGTTTTCGCATCAGTTCTTGCGTCAGTGGTGCATCAGTTTTCGCGCCAGTGGTGCATTAGTTTTCGCGTCAGTGGTGCATCAAGCATTTAGTCCTAGACCTGTATTGGTGTAGACCAAGACTATTTATTCAACCTATAGCTTGTGGGTCAGATCTGGTCAGTGGAGGCATAACAAGTGGCCTGCGGAGGCATAACAAGTGGCCCGCTGATCATTCCCAGTTTTTTTATGTTAACCAGCTGACTACCACGATCGCACATTTCTTGTTGAAGCTTTTAGCCCAGGGTTAGTGAACTGGCGGCCTGCTGGCCATATATGGCCCGCAGAGGCCTAGCAGGTGTCACGCGAATCATTGGCAGTTATATCGTACTAAAGCTGTTTCTATGCTGCGGCTCTTCTTCTGGTCTGCGACAGTCTCCATTTTCGGAATGTCGGCCCTTGAATAATCTGACTTAAATAGCCCAGCTTTAGCCCATTTATTTCTCTATATTATTTTAAGGGAAACAACTCCTTAGTGCTTATAGTACATTTTTGATACATTTTCATTGTGAGCTCCCATGTCGATGACACATTAACAAAATTGTCGCCATGGCGTCAAATTCTCGAAGGAATCGTGGTGGTTATATTTATCATTTTTCTGTTGCTGCACATGATTTTCTTGGTTTGATTTTTCTTTCGAAAGTGAAGGTGAAGATATTTCTGAACAGTTAGATGACTCTGACTTTGATAAATCTAACAAAATGCCATCAAAAACTTCATGAGAATAGAGGTGGAGGCAATAATGGCAGCTTGTTGATAGTTTGAGAGCTTCACAGCCAAGCATTGTGATTGTAATGGACTCACAGAGTAAACTTCAGAAAACTGAAACTGATGTAAAGTGACTAGCAGCACTTGATAAGACTGACATCAGGAGCGTATCTTAGATTTTCTGTACAAGATATTCAGGTGTGCAGGGTAATGAGCAGGCTGATAGACTGGCTGCTGCTGCCTTTCTGGGCAGTGATCTAGTTGATAGTCTGGTAGTCTTAGTTTCAGCTTCATAGCAAACGGGTCACCCCATCTTTGCTCCGCTCCTGTGCCAACAAAAAACACACAGAATGTTTATCCCAGTATTAGAATTGCAGTTCATCATTGATGGTAGCAGAAGTCGCCAACAGATCAGCAGTTGCCCCCGTGATAAATTTTAATCACATACGGGCACCACAACACTGCACGACAGGCATCGCGCCATTTTCTGAATCTACAATTCACACCAACACGTTGGTCACAGTCGAAAAAACATTCCAAATGCAATCCGCAGCTCACAGGGTCACGCCATGCATTCACCTCAGAAGCTGGGCGACGAAACTATATCCAGTCTACAAATGGAACAAAAATGCATCGGCCACCGTCCGGCAGAAGCAAAAAAATTTGCCTCTGTTTCGAACAGTGCCGCTGCCTAACGTCCATTTTGACCGGAAGTCAGTGATCTAGTTAATTATAAAGAGGGTGTGATGAAGTCTGTATGGGATCAAATGGACAATCCAGTATAGACAGAGAATCTGTACATTTAGAAAAGAGTTTGGAGGGAGAGGGATGAGTAGAGGTTCTAGACCAGCGGTTCTCAACCTGCTGGTCGGGACCCTTTTTTGGGGGTCAAATGACCCTTTCATAGGGGTCGCCTAAGACCATAGGAAAACACATATTCACTGATGTTATGAAGGAAAATAATTGTTTGGGGGTCGCCACAACATGAGGGAACTGTATTACAGGGTCGCCACAACAAGAGGGAACTGTATTACAGGGTCGTCACAACATGAGGGAACTGTATTGAAAGGTTGCAGCATTAGGAAGGTTGAGAGCCACTGTTCTAGACAGTATTCTACACTAAGAAGAAAACATGGGCAAACTTGTAATCAGGTTGCAGTTAGTACTATTAGCATGTCAACTTGTGTGTGTGTCAGCTACTCAGAAATTAGATGTAATGTCTATAGTTCAGTGTGTCAGCTACTGAGAAATGAGATATAATGTCTATAGTTCAGTGTGTCAGCTACTGAGAAATGAGATGTAATGTCTATAGTTCAGTGTGTCAGCTACTGAGAAATGAGATATAATGTCTATAGTTCAGTGTGTCAGCTACTGAGAAATAAGATGTAATGTCTATGGTTCAGTGTGTCAGGTCTTGATACATTCATTCATGAAGTACTCTGACTGGCTGTTGCAGGCCAGCATGTATATCTGTGTGCCCGTATTGATGGCCAGTTAGTGATACGACCTTATACGCCCATATCCAGTGATGATGACAGAGGATATATGGATCTGTTGGTCAAGGTAAGTTAAACCGGTTGTCACTGGCATCTTTCTGTCTTTCCAGATGATAGTTAAAGGTTAGCGAGACAGGAAAACCATGCGGGAGCCACCTGTCGTTACATCAGCTAGAACAGAATGGGAGCTGTGAGCCTAAAAACACCTGGAGACATATTCAGGAGGAGATCGAAGCAATTATGGTCATGTCCGATGTGTCCTGAAGATGATCTTTAAATGAACTATAAAGTTAAATGGTCAAGTGGAGATGATTTACTTCACTGCATCAGGTTTGATCCCATGTGGCTCGATCACTCACCACAGAAGGCTAACTTCCTGCCAAGAGCTTCATGCATAGCACGGAACACCATAGCTCAGGTGATGATCCCCAGGGCTGGCCGCAAAAATTTGATCGAATGACACTGCATGACATGAACCTATGACCTTCAGAGCATACGGCAAACAGCCTTGATCACTTTGCCACGGAGACCCCCAGACAATAGTGCTGTGAGTTGAATGTTGAATTAAGAATCAAAATCTCCTGAGTGTTGAGGGTCAGGCAGATCCCCTGGTAACTCCTGGCAGCACCGCTCTCCTTCTCCTGCGCCTGAGTATTGAGCGTCGACCAGATTCCCTGGTAACTCCTGGCAGCACCGCTCTCCTTCTCCTGCGCCTGAGTATTGAGCATCAACCAGATCCCCTGGTAACTCCTGGCAGCACCACTCTCCTTCTCCTGCGCCTGAGTATTGAGCGTCGACCAGATTCCCTGGTAACTCCTGGCAGCACCGCTCTCCTTCTCCTGCGCCTGAGTATTGAGCATCAACCAGATCCCCTGGTAACTCCTGGCAGCACTGCTCTCCTTCTCCTGCGCCTGAGTGTTGAGCGTCGACCAGATTCCCTGGTAACTCCTGGCAGCACCGCTCTCCTTCTCCTGCGCCTGAGTATTGAGCATCAACCAGATCCCCTGGTAACTCCTGGCAGCACCGCTCTCTTTCTCCTGCGCCTGAGTGTTGAGCGTCGACCAGATTCCCTAGTAACTCCTGGCAGCACCGCTCTCCTTCTCCTGCGCCTGAGTATTGAGCATCAACCAGATCCCCTGGTAACTCCTGGCAGCACTGCTCTCCTTCTCCTACGCCTGAGTGTTGAGCGTCGACCAGATTCCCTGGTAACTCCTGGCAGCACCGCTCTCCTTCTCCTGCGCCTGAGTATTGAGCATCAACCAGATTCCCTGGTAACTCCTGGCAGCACTGCACTCCTTCTCCTGCGCCTGAGTGTTGAGCGTCGACCAGATTCCCTGGTAACTCCTGGCAGCACCGCTCTCCTTCTCCTGCGCCTGAGTATTGAGCATCAACCAGATCCCCTGGTAACTCCTGGCAGCACTGCTCTCCTTCTTTTGCGCCTGAGTGTTGAGCGTCGACCAGATTCCCTGGTAACTCCTGGCAGCACCGCTCTCCTTCTCCTGCGCCTGAGTTTCGAGCATCAACCAGATCCCCTGGTAACTCCTGGCAGCACTGCTCTCCTTCTCCTGCGCCTGAGTGTTTAGCGTCAGGCAGATCCCCTGGTAACTCCTGGCAGCACCGCTCTCCTTCTCCTGCGCCTGAGTATTGAGCGTCGACCAGATTCCCTGGTAACTCCTGGCAGCGCCGCTCTCCTTCTCCTGCGCCTGAGTGTTGAGCGTCGACCAGATTCCCTGGTAACTCCTGGCAGCACCGCTCTCCTTCTCCTGCGCCTGAGTATTGAGCGTCGACCAGATTCCCTGGTAACTCCTGGCAGCGCCATTCTCCTTAGACCTTAATGATTAGTGCTGTGAGGAGATACAGGAACCACAGCCTTTGCATGTGTGCTTGCGTGCGTGCTTGTGTGCACGCGTGTGTGATAGAGAGAGATAGCGAGAGAGAGAGAGAGAGAGTAGCAAGACCTGCTCAATTTGAGAAAATATTAAACAATTAAAGCTTGGGAATCCGAGACCAATGTTGCTATCTTTCGTATTTAATGTGCTTGTTTTAAAAAACTGAGCTCTTCAGTTATTGTTTCTCCTTTATTTCTTCTGCTTTTTTTTTCTTTGTATGTCCTCAAAAAATTGTTTTACACATCATGTTGTGGTTTACAGCTAGGCTGTGATATCTACAGCTTTCGGCCAACAAGTCTGATTTCAGTGAATCCTCAAATAGTCACCTTTTATAAAATGCCTGTAAAGGAGCAGTGGTTCCTATTCCCCCCCCCCTCCCCAAATGGGTCTAGAATGCACATGGGGACCCCTTTATTCCTATTTCCTTCTTGATTTCCCACTCCAAGAACCCACTCCCCCCCACCCACCCCTCAGTGGCAGCTTATTAACATCAGTGAATGAATCAACAGCTGACATCCCTGCACTTAAGGGCATACTGAAAAATCTGGCTTCCTGTGTGGTCACTTTAGTCTGTTTGAACGTAATACACTGATAATCCGGTACTCCTGTCAAATCTGGACGAAGACTAAAAAGCCTTGGACGACTTAGTCAGAGTTCTCTCCCTTGGCCGCACTGCGAACAGTGATCGGAAAAGCCAACGAAACAAAGAAGACAGTCACGTCGACATCAGGGCTGGCAATGCTTGGTTGTTTCCCCCAGATCTGGGTTTTTTTTTCGTCGCTGCAGGACAATTCTGGTTTTTTTTGGGTGTGTTGTGTTTGTTGCTTTTTGCCGATTTGTATGCTTTAATGATCGATAAATTTGCGTGTTTAGGGGCAGGGGTTAGGGCTAGGGAGTAGGATTAGGATTAGGGTTAGCGGTAGGGTTAGGTATAGCGTTAGATTTCACAATTTTGACGCCGGAGTTCCCTATAATCGCGCACAGTCCCATACACACACAAACAATCGAGGGCCTCTGGATGCTGGTCAAATGCACATTTCGCCAACGATTGGGGGCACCAGCCGCACGCTATTGGCGTCATATTTGGCAGAGTTTCAGTGGCGCCACTCCCACAAACATCAGATTGTCGGCCAGTATTTCGAAATCCTACGTCAAAATTTTCACATCTAACCCTAACCCTATCCCTAACCCCAACCCTAACCCTAACCCTACCCCTAACCCTAACCCTAACCCTACCCCTAACTCTAAACCCTAACCCTAACCCTACCCCTAACTCTAACCCTACCCCTAACTCAAACCCAAACACTACGCATCCCTACACGCAACCGTATGATGACTACGCATCCCTTCACGATGCCTCACGCAACCGTACGCACCCCTGCACGCAACCGTATGATGACTACGCATCCCTTCACGATGCCTCACGCAACCGTACGCACCCCTGCACGCAACCGTATGATGACTACGCATCCCTTCACGATGCCTCACGCAACCGTACGCAGCCCTACACGCAACCGTATGATGATAGGAAGTGTGTCGTTTGTTTCGTTGGCTTTTCCTATCACTGTTTGCAGTGCGGCCAAGGGAGAGAACTCTGACTAAGTCGTCCAAGGCTTTTTATTCTTCGTCCGGATTTGACAGGAGAGCCGATAATCCTTCAGACTGGTTATTGCTGCACTTGGACATTGTCTAGGAGACCTTCAGACTGGTTATTGCTGCACTTTGGCATTGTCTAGGAGACCTTCAGACTGGTTATTGCTGCACTTGGACATTGTCTAGGAGACCTTCAGACTGGTTATTGCTGCACTTGGACATTGTCTAGGAGACCTTCAGACTGGTTATTGCTGAACTTGGACATTGTCTAGGAGACCTTCAGACTGGTTATTGATGCACTTGGACATTGTCTAGGAGACCTTCAGACTGGTTATTGCTGCACTTTGACATTGTCCAGGAGACCTTCAGACTGGTTATTGCTGAACTTGGACATTGTCTAGGAGACCTTAAGACTGGTTATTGCTGCACTTTGGCATTGTCTAGGAGACCTTCAGACTGGTTATTGCTGCACTTGGACATTGTCTAGGAGACCTTCAGACTGGTTATTGCTGCACTTTGACATTGTCTAGGAGACCTTCTGACTGGTTTTTGCTGCACTTGGACATTGTCTAGGAGACCTTCAGACTGGTTATTGCTGCACTTTGACATTGTTTAGGAGACCTTCAGACTGGTTATTGATGCACTTGGACATTGTCTAGGAGACCTTAAGACTGGTTATTGCTGCACTTTGACATTGTCTAGGAGACCTTCAGACTGGTTATTGCTGCACTTAGACATTGTCTAGGAGACCTTCAGACTGGTTATTGCTGCACTTTGACATTGTCTAGGAGACCTTCAGACTGGTTATTGCTGCACTTGGACTTTGTCTAGGAGATCTTCAGACTGGTTATTGCTGCACTTGGACATTGTCTAGGAGACCTTCAGACTGGTTATTGCTATATTTTAAAGTGATCTGTCCACCGTGAAAATCAAACTCCTCTACTCAAATACTCACTAGCCACTACAAAGTCGGAGTGCATCTTGAATCAAAAGTCTGCATACAAATAAGCCAGGCCTGTAAAACAGATGTGCATGCAATGCTCAGGTTCTGGAACAAGACTAAAGTCCAGAAGTGGATGAACACCCAGAACTTTCCACCAGAGTTTACAGCTGGTGAACACAAAGGAGAGGAGAAGAAGAAGAAGTTAACATCTGCAAGTATCTGGAAGTTTTCAGCATTTTATTCTTTGTTTGAATTAGATTTATTTCAAGAATGTTAATCCCAAATTTCCCGGAGGAGGGAAGATGTCACAATATCTTGAAAGCATGGAAATTGGCGACTACATCGATGTCAAAGGTCCGGTTGGTTATCTGGAGTATGTAGGTCAAGGTAATAAAGTTCATGTGATTTAACGTCATTACCATAGTTCCAAAATGCTGCATGTCATTGGGTCACCAGTTGCTATTAACTGTCTACTCTTCTCTCTCCAGAGGGCTGCTTAGTCTTGGGGCATGGTGTTCCCCTCAAGTGCTAGAGGTTCTGGGTTCAATCCCCAGTAAGGGCTGGGATTTTTCACGTGGGACTTCTGGTATTTCCACTGATCTCTGGGTAGTGAGATCGGACACCCATGTGCATTGTTGCGCACATAAAAAAATCCCTTGGCAGTTGGAAATCGAAAAAAGTAGCCTTTTGCCCGGGCAAAATTTGGAGTTAAACATCTACCCAAAGTATTTCAGGATCCTCACCGGTACTACAAAGCCTGTGCACTGTGCTGAGCTTTTTAGCACTCAGACTTTAGTTAGAAGAAGAATGGAGCACTTATTCGTTACTACCCATGTACCTCAAACCTTCTACCTCTTCTTAGCATTCACCACCTGGCTGAAAGTTCTGGTTGTTCATCCACTTCTGGACTTTCAGAACATTCTACTTCTTAGCGTTCACCGGCTGTCGACTCTGGCTAAACATTCTGGTTGGTTCGTCCACTTAAGGACTTTTGTAATATTCCAGAATTTATTTGCACATCCCTTTTACAGATCTCGCTTACATGTATGCAGACTGCAGGTTGCTGGTGTCTCAGGCAGATGCACCCTGACTTCAGAGGTAACACTTCTGATTATTTGCCTTTTATGACATGCTAGTGGGCAGTGGATCTATTATTTTTTACCCCAGAAATGGGACACTGTCTGATCAGCTGCCTCCACATTTGTTGATCAGAAGCAGTGGACTTGATGTTTGCATGTTTGAGACCCATCCTTTCAGCCACATTCAGTATCCAGGTCTTTGTTGATCTACGGTTTTTTACTTGTTATAATCTTGTTGTATTATTTTCCTAAAGGCCAGTAGATTTTGTTGCATGTTTGTTCCAATGCATTTTTCAACTTTTCGCTCTTTATTAAAAGATGTTCACATTTCTCAGTGTGTTGAGTGATGATGATACTGCAAACTTCCCATGTGATTACAACTTACTTAATTTTTTAATCAGTAAGTTTAACCTTTTCACCACACAAATGTTAAAAACATGGGAATTTCTGAAAAATCTTTTTAAAAACTCAACTATTTTACAAAGATAACCAATAAACTGTTTAAACATGTATTTATCTACATTTTTTTTTCTCGAAATGCATACATATTTGTAAAGGGAATAGTCAGTAAACAAGAACAGAGGGAAGCATTAGATGGAGTGAATTCCCCAGGGCTAAAAGAAATACGTACTGTGTAATTCATGCCGTGACCCAGTGACCTCTATCACTGAGGCTTACCGGAAAATTGTAAGCCAAAACAATTTATTCCTGAGGAAACTGCCTAAAGTGCTATATTTGGTTAATATATTCAGATCCAGGTCTCCTAAACACTACGCAGATGCACATGTGACTAATGTCATTTAACTATGCCTTTGGAGAACATGTCACTGCATAAGTGGCGATAGATTGGCATTTATGGGGCTGGGTCACAGTTGAGCCTGCTCATGATGTAAGGATTAATCATGTTAAAAATGGACTGCAAGCAGTGGTCAGCGGGCATTTGGAGGTGGACATACAACAATTGATTCATGACAAATCTTCTTTCGCTGATCTGATTATCTCTACAGATATCTCTGCTTTAAGAGGGGAAAAGAAATGCCTGAAAATTCAAATGACAAACATTTAGGGCAAGAAAATCTGGTATATCATACCAGTCTAGCCTTCTCTCCCATTCTGTTCTGTCCAGTCTTCATCTTCGCATTTATGGGCTGTAAACTGTGACAGAAAATTCTGGTTGTTTGTCCACCTGTGGACAGTAGTCTTGTTCCAGCACCTAGGTGTTGCATGCATATCCATTTGACAGATCTGACATATCTGTATGCAGACTGTTGCTTCCTTGCCTCTCAGGCAGATACACTCCAGCTGCGAAGGAATCCCCAGTTAGTCGACTCTTAGGACATGCTTGGTGGGGGGGGGGGGGGGGGCAGTGGGTATATTCTTGTTTTCCCCATAATGGGACCCCAGAACCCACATGGGAATCTGTCCAATCATTTTGATGTCACTGATGGAATCGAGGTCAGTAAACCCTTTCACCCCAAGAACCACAAAACCAACACTTCCAGTTTGTACACTGTCTATCTAAGGGCTGCTTTCCCTACTTGCTGTCGAGATATGTTTATGAGGCATCTAGCTAACAGAACTCATTGCATCTGCGTCTGCACAAAGTTTCATTGCAGCAGGGGATTAAATACACTAAAAATAGCATTTAGGGTGTTTCTTTCTTAAAAAGTGGCCTTATTTATAGAAATTCACAGGATTCACAGCCGTATGTTAAAAATGGCTCTATATAGTTTACGAGATTTCTTTTCCTAACCTCCAATGACATGGATTTATTGCACAAAAATATTCTTCATTTTATAAAAGGCAGTTTTAACCTGTCCTATTCTGTTGTTTGTCTCTGTGATACATCTTCCATCAGATGTCATCCATGTGCCCAGATGCTTACATTTCTGAACTTGACAACAGTGTTGTCACTGGCCTCGGAGCAGAATATTTTGACCTATTCATGGTACATGAAAGCTTACCTTCATTGTATAAGACCCAGCCTAATTATAAGACCTATTCTGAGAAAAAAAATGTGTGTCCTGTACACTGACAAATACGGTACCTCTGATTTTTCCAATATTGGTTTTAAAATATTTCATAGTTTAACTGCACTCCCCTCATTTTGATAATTTTGTTTAAGATTGAAAATAAATGCTCTGCAGGAACAATTAAGATCAGGACAGACAAAAAAGTTGAACCACAGATAAAGAAAGCCTCAAACATTGGGATGATTGCTGGAGGAACAGGTAGGGGCCTGAACTCTTAACAAGGTAGTGTTAACTTTTTGAGTCCCAGACAACGCTTCAAGTGTGAATCACTCTGTCTGCTGAATCCCCTCTTTGGCTTAAATAATATGGTCTATTACTTTTTGACTCGTTCAGTGGTCACTATTACTGTAATAGTACTGCTTTGAAATTAACATACTGATACATTTTAATCACAGATATTTCTACTTAACCTTATTCTGGTACTGAAAGAGTTAACCTTATTCTGGTACTGAAAGAGTTAAAACCTTATTCTGGTATTGAAAGAGTTAACCTTATTCTGGTACTGAAAGAGTTAATCTTATCCTGGTACTGAAAGAGTTAATCTTATTCTGGTACTGATAGAGTTAACCTTATTCTGGTACTGAAAGAGTTCATCTTATTTTGGTACTGAAAGAGTTAATCTTATTCTGGTACTGAAAGAGTTAATCTTATTCTGGTACTGAAAGAGTTAATCTTATTCTGGTACTGAAAGAGTTAACCTTATTCTGGTACTGAAAGAGTTAATCTTATTCTGGTACTGAAAGAGTTAATCTTATTCTGGTACTGAAAGAGTTAATCTTATTCTGGTACCGAAAGAGTTAACCTTATTCTGGTACTGAAAGACTTAATCTTATTCTGGTACTGAAAAAGTTAGCTTTCAAACGTGTCAAATTCACTAAGCCACAGACTGTTCATGTGATATCAGCAAAGAGGAAAGAGCCTAACACTTTCATCGGACATCATTTGCTAAATTTAGGACATGTGATAGTTAGAGATTGTGCCTTCCTGGCTATTTGTAACACAATGGACATGTGATAGTTAGAGATTGTGCCTTCCTGGCTGTTTGTAACACAATGGACATGTGATAGTTAGAGATTGTACCTTCCTGGCTGTTTGTAGCACAATGGACATGTGATAGTTAGAGATTGTGCCTTCCTGGCTGTTTGTAGCACTATGGACATGTGATAGGTAGAGATTGTGCCTTTCTGGCTGTTTGTAACACAATGGACATGTGATAGTTAGAGATTGTACCTTGCTGGCTGTTTGTAGCACTATGGACATGTGATAGGTAGAGATTGTGCCTTTCTGGCTGTTTGTAGCACAATGGACATGTGATTGTTAGAGATTGTACCTTTCTGGCTGTTTGTAGCACTATGGACATGTGATTGTTAGAGACTGTGCCTTCCTGGCTGTTTGTAACACAATGGACATGTGATAGTTAGAGATTGTACCTTCCTGGCTGTTTGTAGCACAATGGACATGTGATAGTTAGAGATTGTGCCTTCCTGGCTGTTTGTAGCACTATGGACATGTGATAGGTAGAGATTGTGCCTTTCTGGCTGTTTGTAACACAATGGACATGTGATTGTTAGAGATTGTGCCTTTCTGGCTGTTTGTAGCACAATGGACATGTGCTTGTTAGAGATTGTGCCTTCCTGGCTATTTGTATTTCATGGAAGCAAAAATAGTCAAGACAGAGGTTTTGGAGTGACTGAATAAAAGAGAGTTCTGAAATAAATAAAAAAAGAGACAGTTTAAATGTTTCGCACCCCTTATAAGACATAACACTCTTTTAAAAACCATACTAGAGGGAAAGGTTGAGGGCAAGAGGTAGACAATGATATAAGTGGGAGGACAACATCAAGAGATGGACAAACAGCAGTCTGAGAGAGTGTACAACCAGAACAAGAGAAGAGAGTGTTGGAGTTCCATTGCAGCAAACCTTCACTATGAAGACTTCACTGATTGATTGATTGATTCAAAATTGGTGGAACTGTGACATGATGAACAGTCCCCTATTATGTAAACAAAAGGATCACTTGGTTATTCTGAGACTTCTGTGATGACAGAGTCTAACAAAAGACAATGATGTTTGTGTATTTCACTTTATAGGATTCATGTTTTGTTTTGTGCTTCATTACAGTAAAGTAAAGCACTCTTTTCCATGCCTTTAGGCATATTGGGCATAAATGGCTAGACATATATTTGATAGACCAGTCAGCACTCGGTGGGTGATGCCAGTTACCTTACTTTCCAGGGCTATAGCTGGTGCCCATTTAAGGTCTACCTGGGAGTCAGGGTCAGTTTGGAAAAAGTCTGACTCCATCAGGAGCTGAACCCACAACCTTCCCAACCGCAGGTGAGAGTCTAGCTCCTACACCACGGCGGCTTCCAGAAGTTCACTATAAGTTGATGTAAATTCTGTAGCAATGCATCTGCCGGAAATACAGCTGAATATCTTCTTCCTCTTCTGCCCTGTATTTCCCAATGGAGCATAGGCCCTCAACCAACTAATGCCAAGTATCGTTTGCTACTGCAGGCAGCTCACCCTGTGTCCTCTCTATTTTTTTAACTTCACACTCTAGCAACCTTTTTCAACATTCCTTTTTGTGTGTCTGTCTATTTATATGAACCTGTCGGTTATAATGTAAAGACATTCTAATTATATTGTTCTCAGGGTTTCTCAATATGTGTCCTATCCATCACCAACATCTTGTCCTCATCTCTTGATTCACTGTTTAGTTCTTTGTGTAGTTTGTTTAGTTCTTTTCCAGAGCTTCACATAAATAGTTTTTTTCCTCTTCTTCTTGAATCCTTCTGTCAGAAAAAACTGATATCAGGAAACTGGTAGCCTTTTTGAAAGCTATCATGCAGTCCAAATCTCTGTGTGCAAAATACAGCTTTGTCTTGAGGTTGGAACAGGCCAGATTGCGTTTTGGAGGTTGAAACAGTCCAGATTGCGTTTGAGGTTGGAACAGGCCAGATTGCGTTTGAGGTTGGAGCAGGCCAGATTGCGTCTCTGTTGACAGCATACAGCTGACTGTTGGAGTACAATATAATTTCCCGTCTTTTGTGCAGGCACCAGTTAATGAATATTTGTACTCCATGTTTCAGTTCTATTTGATACTAGAGCTAAATATTTCAAGTCCGTTACTAACAAATCATTAATTTGTCACACATATCATTAGTCTCTGTCTCCTGCTTCTTTCTTCAGGTATCACTCCGATGCTGCAGATCATCAGATACATATTCAAGGATCCAGGAGATAAAACAATTGTTTGGTTGATATATGCAAACCAGGTACAGCTGTCTTAATAAAAAAAAGCAGTGTTTAATCTCTTGAGAATCATGTGTTTGCCTACTGTGTTCCCTCTCTCCTAAGGGTCTGAACGTCCAACACAATTTTATTTTAAAACTTTTGAGTGAGTCCCCTGTTGTAACACCTCCTCTGCCTAGCAGTCTCATCTCTTTGGGTCACTTCCTGACCAGTATCTCACTCCTGCAAGACACATGACACAGAGCATCTACTGTTGCGGTGATTTTGTGACAGACCTACCGTAAAGCAGAGGGATTTTGTGTATACTTCCTTGTAATTGTATTGTTATCTGTTTGTGTTGTGTGCTTATGAAAATTGCTGATAGTGAAGTCCAGTGATCTCTCTGGCAAACCTCTCCAGCCCAAGGTAGAAGAGAAGCAACTAAGTAAGTTAGTTGTGTGCTTATGAAGGCTTTTTAGATGCACCATCCATTTTATCATTCATGACTGTGTTTTTGTGAAGCTGGCGAATTCTACTTCTCATTTGTAATGATTTTTCATTGCAGATCCTTTATGTGATAATATTGTTGCTAATATTCTCTTGATAACACTTGAGAAATGTCTTCCCTCTTTGTTTTTGATAACATTTTTTTGGCAAGTTCTTTTATTGTTGTTGAAATTATCCTATGCATTTTTATTAGCTTCTTATAAATATATTAATATACATTTTTTTATTTTTTCTATTTTATTCCTTGCAAACCTTTTAGAAATATCTTCTTTTTCTTTGTTGATATTGTTCTTTATTTATGCAAACAATTTACAAATATCATATCTTCTTTGAAATTCAACCTTGTTGTTTGCAAAGAATTGATAAATATCTTCATTTTATTAATTCACTAACTTTGCAGACCTGTTATAAAAAATTTCCCTTTTTAAAAAAAAATACTTCCATATTTCTTGAGAACCTATCCTAATGCGGACACGAACAACACATTGCACAATTTATTGCCAGGCATATTTCACTGTATCTTGTCAGAGTTAAATCATCATATAATTAAGCGCAGAAATGAATCTTTTCATGATATAGTCAAATATGCTGTGCAGGGTGTTGTTTGTGTCCGCGTTATTTCAATTTACAGAGGGGAAAACAGCATTATAAACTTTATATGAGTCATCATGTGACGTGTGGTTAAGCATTGTCTGTCATATTTTGCCATCTCAAACAATTATTAGAATAAAAAATCAAGTCAGTGTTCAGGTATCGCCCCATCCAAATGGCTAAGCCTTCGTCCAGATGTTTATCTCTTTGTCTTCCTCTTGCCCTCCTTCCATCAATCCAGTCTGTCATTATCAAGTTTTTGAGTCTATTCCTTCTCATAACGTGTAAGAAAAACACAGATTCTCTGTGTCAAAACTATAAAATCAGTTTACGACTTTCATCTCTCTCAAGGTGGACTTCATGATTAGTGTTCTATCATACCATGGTATTCTTTTGCATTCTTCTAAAACACATCTCTCTAAAGGTGGACTTCATAGTTAGTGTTTCTATCATACCATGGTATTCTTTGTATTCTTCTAAAACACCACATCTCTCTCTCAAAGTGGACTTCATGGTTAGTGTTTCTATCACACCATGGTATTCTTTGTATTCTTCTAAAACACCACATCTCTCTCAAGGTGGACTTCATGATTAGTGTTTCTATCATACCATGGTATTCTTTGTATTCTTCTAAAACACCACATCTCTCTCGTGTGTATTGTTATGCACATAAAAAAAATCCCTTTTCAGTTGGGCTAAATTTTTAGTTGCAAATCTACCCAAAATATTTCAGGATCCTCGCCGGTGCTGCGGAGCCCATGCACTGTACTGAGCCACTTCGGACTCAGAGTTGAGTTAGAAGAAGAACGGAGCACTTATTGGTTACTACCCGTGTGCCATGATGTTGATCCGTTGTTCAAACTTCAAACCTTTAATAATATTCTAATTTGATCTATGTTAACTGTTAAAAATGTCATCTCTTTTGTTTCTGTTTGAAAACCTTTTATATACATCCTCCTTTGCTGAAACTCTAGACAGAGAAGGATATTCTGTTGCGTTCAGAACTGGAGGATCTCCAGAGCAGTCACCCGTCTCAGTTTCACTTGTGGTTCACATTGGACAGGCCAAGTGAGAGTAAGTGTTTTTGTTTGGTTCACATTGGACAGGCCAAGTGAGAGTAAGTGTTTCTGTTTGGTTCACATTGGACAGGCCAAGTGAGAGTAAGTGTTTTTGTTTGGTTCACATTGGACAGGCCAAGTGAGAGTAAGTGTTTTTGTTTGATTCACATTGGACAGGCCAAGTGAGAGTAAGTGTTTTTGTTTGGTTCACACTGGACAGGCCAAGTGAGAGTAAGTGTTTCTGTTTGGTTCACATTGGACAGGCCAAGTGAGAGTAAGTGTTTTTGTTTGGTTCACATTGGACAGGCCAAGTGAGAGTAAGTGTTTTTGTTTGATTCACATTGGACAGGCCAAGTGAGAGTAAGTGTTTTTGTTTGGTTCACACTGGACAGGCCAAGTGAGAGTAAGTGTTTTTGTTTGGTTCACATTGGACAGGCCAAGTGAGAGTAAGTGTTTTTGTTTGGTTCACACTGGACAGGCCAAGTGAGAGTAAGTGTTTTTGTTTGGTTCACATTGGACAGGCCAAGTGAGAGTAAGTGTTTTTGTTTGATTCACATTGGACAGGCCAAGTGAGAGTAAGTGTTTTTGTTTGGTTCACACTGGACAGGCCAAGTGAGAGTAAGTGTTTCTGTTTGGTCACATTGGACAGGCCAAGTGAGAGTAAGTGTTTTTGTTTGGTTCACATTGGACAGGCCAAGTGAGAGTAAGTGTTTTTGTTTGATTCACATTGGACAGGCCAAGTGAGAGTAAGTGTTTTTGTTTGGTTCACACTGGACAGGCCAAGTGAGAGTAAGTGTTTTTGTTTGGTTCACATTGGACAGGCCAAGTGAGAGTAAGTGTTTTTGTTTGGTTCACACTGGACAGGCCAAGTGAGAGTAAGTGTTTTTGTTTGGTTCACATTGGACAGGCCAAGTGAGAGTAAGTGTTTTCGTTTGATTGTCCTTGCTAATTGACTTTACATATCTTCAGCTACAGAGTTGTCTGTTCTTGACATTCATTTGGAAGTGCTGATTGGCAGTAACTTGTACAAGGACCATAGTTGGAGGATTGGTGAGATTATAGAGGATTGATTGGATTATATGATGGTATTATAGAGGATTGGCTACCTTATCAACAGCAGCTTTTAGAAGTCTGAACAAAATATGGATCTCTAAATGATGTAGTTTTAACAGCTAAACCATGTATATTCAGTTCACATGTGTTTTTGTTTGGTTCAACATATGGCATTAATAGTTAGAGTACGGCTAAAGACATGGAACAAAACTTAAACATATTTGAAAACAAATTTATGGGGAAACCGATGAACATTAAATGGGATGAGTTGAGTTGAGTCAAGAATTGACATTACAGCACTCGGGGCATTCCCATGCATACGCCATCCTCATCTTCAACAGCCAGCACAGAGTTTCAATACTGATCGTACAGATCACAGTCTGTTTTTATGTGCGTCCTGCCTTTCATCTGAGTATAGTGAGTTGGCCAGACCCTCTGGTTACACCCAGGTGCCTCATTCTCTCCAGGCCATAATAATCTTCTATCTCTACTGATTCCGTTGCTTGTTCCCAAAGGGCCTTGACCACATCTACCTTGTCATGTATCCATTCACCACCCAGTGATGCAGATCCAGCAAAACTGTCTGCCTGTTCATTACCCACCACCCCGGCATAGCCTGGAGAAAAGATCCAAAGTATGCTCACTACCTGTGACCTTTCCAGTGAAGCTTGCCACTCTGCTCGAAGTATCCCTGCCTTCACCTTTCTCAGCATGCTTTCAGAGTCTGTAACAATTACGGCATGTGTATGCATCTTGTCCTCTGGCCACCGGAGAGCTCCAGTTACTGCCTCCACCTCCATCTCCATTCTCATGCTAGATGTTGTGGCGTCGTATGCTGGGCTGTCTTGCACTGAAGATTTTCCATTGGCTTTCGCTACGAACCCCCAGGCACTTCATTTTCCTCTCAACACCCAACCATCTGTATAGATAATCAGATCACCTGGGCATACATTGAATGGGATGCATTCGTAAAAGGCGAGAAACAAGAGACTTGTCTGGACAGCCGTTTGTATCAACAGTTTTGTAAAGAAAATGGCAGTGTATTGGAAACATTGAGAAGAGCAGACAAGAATCACTAAACAGTTACTGAAATGGAAAACAAGGATGAACAAGAGAGACTCTAAAACAAACGTTGACTTGAGAGGCCACAAATGAAGCACTAGATTCCATTCATGATATCAGAAGAGTTGCACATGATCAAATGGAGTGAAGTAAATGACAGCGAGTTGAGGAATTGCTTCAAGAACCATCATCACAGCACTCAGGGCATTCACATAGGTGTCCATCCCCATCCTCAGCAGCCAGTGCAGAGTTTTAAAACCATTGGTGCCAGTATCAGTCTAAATATATCTCTGTCTTGCCTTTCCTCTGAGCATCGAGTATCAGCCAGATCTCCTCATCACTCCTGGCTGCATAACACTATCCAGACTGTGATGATCTGTTTGCTCCGATTGTACACATACTTCCATAAGACCTTAACCATGTCTGGCTTATCATGCATCAGTATTCCACCAAGTTGTGCAGAGCCAGCCAGTCTGTATGCCTTTTTATTTCCCAGCATATCTGTGATCCGGAAAGAAAAAAAAAGATACAGACAGTGCTCTTTACCAGTGACCTCCAAAGCGAAGCATGCCGCTGAGTCGGTTACAATCACAACGTGTGTGTGTGTGTGTATCATGTTTTGTAGCCATCAGAAAGCTGCACTGACTGCATCCACCTCCGTTCTTAAGCTGGTAGTTGTGGTATCATACTCTAGGCTCTGCTGCACCAAACATTGACTGTTAGCTTTTACTAAGAACAACCGGCACTTCTTTTGCCTTTTGACACTGAACCATCAGACAGTGAGCCCAGTGTGGCATATAATGACACTGAACCATCAGACAGTGAGCCCAGTGTGGCATATAATGACACTGAACCATCAGACAGTGAGCCCAGTGTGGCATGTAATGACACTGAACCATCAGACAGTGAGCCCAGTGTGGCATGTAATGACACTGAACCATCAGACAGTGAGCCCAGTGTGGCATGTAATGACACTGAACCATCAGACAGTGAGCCCAGTGTGACACATAATGACACTGAACCATCAGACAGTGAGCCCAGTGTGACACATAATGACACTGAACCATCAGACAGTGAGCCCAGTGTGGCATGTAATGACACTGAACCATCAGACAGTGAGCCCAGTGTGACATATAATGACACTGAACCATCAGACAGTGAGCCTAATGTGGCATATAATGACACTGAACCATCAGACAGTGAGCCCAATGTGGCATGTAATGACACAGTAGGATGATGGTGGCTACCCCATCTAGAATCAAGCATCTGCAACAATCACTAGATGTTATCTGTATAGGTATGCAGGGGTTGCAAATGTCACATGACAAGGACTCCAGCTTCGAGGTCGGAGTTCAACTGCCTGAGAGGCAAGGAACCAGCAGTCAGTATTCAAATAAGCCAGATCAGTAAAATGGATGTGCACACAAAACTCCAGTACTAGAACAAGACCAATGTCCAGAAATGGACCAAAAAAAACGGACTTTCTGTCGAAGATTAGAGCCTGTGAACTCAAAAAGGAAAATGAGTGACCATTTAGTCTTCCTGGAGTGTCTGTCAGATCCCTATGGTAACTTCCCGCTGCAGCATTCTCCTCAGACCACGAGAAATGAATAATTTATATAGTCTCTTTATATCTTTTTAGGGATACTCAACATCACTTTATAACTGTTTTAATTTCTGATGCCCTTTTTTTAAACACCAGACTGGCAGTACAGCTCAGGTTTTGTGAACAGTGAAATGATGACAGCTCACTTAGCTCCCCCTGGCAAAGACACTCTCGTCTTCCTGTGTGGACCACCACTTATGGTCAATGTTGCTTGCATACCCAATCTGGACAAACTTGGATACAAACCGGACAGCAGATATACTTTCTGAAAAAGTATTTCTTTCATGAGATGTAGTTTAAATGTGGCTAGTTTTCAGACATTTAAACTTCTTTTTTGTAATTCATGAAAATGCCTGCTTTGAAAAATAAATTGTTTCATAGCCAAAATCAGTACATTCTCTGAACGGGGAGGGGGGGGGGTGTAATTGGATTCAAGATACCAACAGAATGCATACAAATAAGTCAAATCAGTAAAACAGGTATGTATTCAAAACTCAAGTTATGGAACAAGGCTAAAGTCTAGAACCAAGACTTTCACCCAGAGTTTTAGCCAGTGCATATGAAGAAGAAGTAGAAGTAGAAGATATAATTTATTTATAAGCAAATTAGTTAGGAAGAAGCAATGTTTTTGTATGTTGAGTAAAATCACTTTATTAAGTTTGGAGAATGTTTGATACTTGTGCATATCTAAGTAAAATTAGTTTGTTTTGGTGGAAGAAACTGTAATACTCTGCACATTAAGTATTATTAATTAACATGTTGATTGCAGTTTTAATACTTTTGAATATCTTAAAACAATAATAGATAAGGAACAACATCTGTTACATAAAATTCATGACATTATATAATTTAAATATAAGTAAATTTTGTTGGAAAAATTGTATTTGTGTAAATACAAGTGACATAAGTTTATTATGTTGGGGAAAATTTTGATACCTTTACAAATATAAACTATATTACTTATAATGGTGTATGAAGTTTTGATACAATTTCATTTCTAAACAGTTAGTAATTATGTTTCAAGGAATTATAATCCTCTTCTTCCTCCTCCTCCTCCCCCTCTTGTTCTTTTGCTTCTTCTTCATCTTCTTCTTCCACTTCTTCCTCCTCATCCCTTCTTTCTCTTTCTTCTTCCTCTTTCTTCTTTCTCCTTCCTTCTTTTTCCGTCCTCTCCTTCTTCTCTTCCTCCTCCTCTTCTTCTTTTTCTTCTACATCTTCTTCTTCCTCTTCTCCTTCTCCTCTTTCTCCCCCTCCTCCATTTACTTCATCAGAATGTTGGGGCAAGATGTAAGGATGCCTCTGTGTGCTCTTTTCAATGCATTATTTTAGGATGTGCTTTCAATGCTAATGCTTCTTCAATGTCCTGTATCCATCTTCCCAGTGGTCGACCACTGCCTCACCTCCACAAACTGCACCCGCCATCACCGTCTTTTCTAAGCCAACATGACGCTTGATTTGGCCAAAATAATTCAACTTTTGTGACAGGATGCTGTTTACTTCTAGATACCTCTACTATTTTTTCTAATGAGGATTTGATCTCATATCTCAGCCTCAAAGGCCGCATAGACGTGCTTCACCATGCTTTGCTCCCATGCCACGCAAAAGTGTTAGTGTCAGAGATTCATCATTATCCACTGTTAATATGGAAGAAGTAATGCATGGGAAGAACTGGGCTACAAGATTTCTGGACTACTGTTGACATCATGCAGCACAGTTTTTCTTCTCAGGTATTCGGCTTGTAACCACCTGAATGCAGAAACTTTTTTCCATTGTTTCTGTCGCCTCCTGTCTCTCCCTGCATGCAATATTGATCCATGACATCATGTTCCAGTTGCACACATCGTTATATAAAAATAAAGTTTGGTTCTGTGATCTTTCGTAAATCTGAAATTCATTGTGGATGCTGCCTGTGTGTTATTCTGTAGTCCATTTCAAAAGTTGTGCTCTCACACTTTAACAAATATCTCAAAAACTCCTGTACAGATAAACACTAATTTGTTTCTTGTGGTCTTAGATTTACCATGTCCCTTTAATTTTATAATTTACAATTGCACAGGTGCTACTGCCTTCTCAAAGTAGTGATTTTCTTTGATCTTTGTCCTACTAATAATTTGTGTGCAGCAATTGACACAAATCCTTTACTTTAAACCACAAACGTAGAAATTGTTTTGGAAATCATTTCACATGTGCAGCGATGTGTACCCATATATAATGAAATATTGTGTTCAAGTAACTCACAGGAGTTTAATGCAGGAGATTGACCGCCTTAGTGCGAAAGCCTATGAACTGAGCTACAGTTGTGCAAATGAAATTGTGACAGTACATGATTTACTATTTCAAATAAGTGCACCTTGCAAGGATTACCTCTAAAACGTGTGCAGTTAGATTTTTTTTGCAAAATTCTCAACACTCTTATCTAACATTCTAATTATATGCTTTAAATTGATGTTTGCTTTATTTAATTTACCACAAATAAGGCAAAATAAAAACTAAACATTTTTTGCATAGTAATTACTTTCCTACAAGGACATTGTTATTAGCTGGCTGCATACCAAATTTCAAACAATTTATACCAGACGATTCCTGAATGACAGATTTTTTTTGTTTGGCACAATTTTTAGAATGGACTATACCAGTGATTACCAAACTGTGCGCCGCAGCGCCCCTGGGACTGCGACTTTTCACAGTGGCGCCATGAAATATTTGAAGATACACAAGTTTAATTATTTTTAAATCTGTTACAAATGAATAGTCATACTTTTGCTGAGGTTAGGACGCCTTTGACAAATTTTGATTGAAAAAAAGGGGCCGCGGCTAAGACAAGTTTGGGAAACACTATACTATACCATTCATCATCATCATCTGAAATCTCTACCTAGTAAATATTTGAAAAATATGTCACTGCTGCTGTTTACAGTACTGCCATATTTATGAGCTTGTCTTACCACTTAATGTCAGATATTCTTTGTAGGCATTGCATGTGAGACATTGAGTTGTTTCTCTTGGTAGATGGAAGAGTTTCACATACAGAAGAGTGCTGATGACTCATATTAGACAATAGTTGTTGTTTTAACCTTAAAAGAACAGCAGTGTTGCTTTATACAACTATATACGACTGTTTATGTATATATATATATATTCTACATACATATACTCGAATGTAATTATCTTTCAGTAATATAACATATGTTTAATTATATCACTGTGATATTAGGGTTGTAGTTTTTAAGGGTATTTTTGTGCAGTTTTTTCTTTTTTAAATTCTTGGTGCTGAAATTTTTCTGTTTTCAACACACACTCCTTTTTGTATGTGTGTGGAGTTTGAAGTTCACTTTTCTCAGTTTCGTTACATTTTTTTTCTCGAATAAATGTTTATCTTCTTGGAAAACATTTTCAAATTGTTTCTTCTGAAGCCATGATTTGTGTGTAAGTAAAAGTTTTAAAAAAAAAATACTGTGTACAAAAAAAAAAGAAATAAGTAAGAGTAGACCATGAGGCTGACCAAGAAGGTTGTGGAGAGATAACACCCAGACAAACCTAGAAATACTTTACTCACTGGAAAGAGAAAGCATGTCACAGAATGAGGGGAAATAATACCTGTAGAAGTGAACTTAAAGTGCTCGGAATACTGAAAAAGAAGAACAGTAAATAAGGGTCATTTTAAAATAGCGCACCGGTCTCCAACTTCTTTCTGGTGGCGACCCCTCTTGAGTAGATATATGACAAGGTCCACACACTCTCTCCCCCTCCTTGATACTTCCTCACCCTCCCTCTGCCTCTTGATACTTCCTCACCCATCCTCCCTCTCCCCTTGATACTTCCTCACCCACCCATCCTCTCCCATTGATACTTCCTCACCCACCCTCTCTCTCCTCTTGATACTTCCTCACCCACCCTCTCTCTCCCCTTGATACTTCCTCACCCACCCTCTCTCTCCCCTTGATACTTCCTCACCGACCCTCTCTCTCCCCTTGATACTTCCTCACCCACCCTCCCTCTCCCCTTGATACTTCCTCACCCACCCTCTCTCTCCCCTTGATACTTCCTCACCACCCTCCCTGTCCCCTTGATACTTACTCACCACCCTTCCCCCTTGATGACTCCCATTAGAGTCCCACCCCTCCTCCCTTGATACTTCCTCACCCCCCCCCCACTTGATACTTCCTTTCCCCCCCCCCCCCAATTGATACTTTCTCACCCTTCCTTCCCCCTTGATACTTCCTCACCTCCCCCCCCACTTGATACTTCCTCACCCTTAATTCCCCCTTGATACTTCCTCACTCACTCACACTCCCCTTGATACTTCCTTGCCCCCCCCCCTCCGATACTTCCTCACTCACCCCCTTCCCTGATACTTCCTCACCCCCCCCCCCCCCATTGATACTTCCTCACCCACCCTCCCCCCTTGATCCTTCCTCACTCACCCACCCTTCCCCCCCCCCTTGATACTTCCTCACCCCCTTCTTCTTTTTACTTCCTGACCCTTCCTCCCCTCCCTATTGATATTTTTCTTCACCCCCCCCCCCCCTCACTTGATACTTCCTCACCAACAATGACAGGGTCAACATGACGATGACATAGTCAACATAACGATGACAGGGTCAACATAATGATGACAGGGTAAACATAACGATGACGGGGTCAACCTTATGATTGCAGGGTTAACGATGACAGGGTCAACATAAAAATAACAGGGCCATCATAACATTAACAGGGTCAACATAACGATGACAAGGTCAACAACATATCGGCACCAGCCGCCATTATTCTCATGACTGGGTCAACGTAACAATGAGAGGGCAACATAATGATGAGAGGATCAACAAAACAATGGCAGGGTCAGCATAACGATGACAGGGTCAACATAAGGATGACAGGGTCAACAAAATGATGACAGGATCAACATAAAAATGGCAGGGTCAACATAACAATGACAGGGTCAACCTTATGATTGCAGGGTTAACGATGACAGGGTCAACATAAAAATAACAGGGCCATCATAACATTAACAGGGTCAACATAACGATGACAAGGTCAACAACATATCGGCACCAGCCGCCATTATTCTCCCAGATACGTCCTAGTACCTATTTTAGGCTGGGTGAGTGTGGGAATCTTAGGTCAGTTATACAAGATTTGAACCAAATATCTCTGGACCAGCAGTGGTGAGGCAAGACAGTGCTGCAGGAATACCAGATAAGAGGAAGTAGCCCATCAAATGTTATGTTATCACAATTAACGTCACGGATATCCCATGTGTGCTCAGTAC